ATTGAACTCTTGCTGCAGTGGCTGTGGACAGCTTCAGAGTGCTGAGACCTAACATCTTGCACTACCCGGGAGGCCCTTATTCATCATTTTTAAAGAATTTCTTTACCTCTTGAAAAAAGGTAGTCTTACCAAAATCTACCTCAGAAAGTATAGCTACTTGTTCCAGTTGTGAAAGAGGAGTCCTTTCCTACCATGGCAAAGGGACAGTCATTTACAAAGTGATGATAAGAGTCCAGCAGAGAGGAAATAAATAATGATTCCGGAAAAGTAGTGATAATTAGGGAGAAGAGGTCCTTGAAAAAGTAAGTGTGAGATTAGAAACTCAAGGAGTCAGACTTTGGTGGAAGTGGTGATGTTTCATCCACAGTAAAGCCAGGGAGGGTGCCATGTTAGGGAACTGATAGGGAAGTCTGAAAGTTTTCATGGTGGGAAGATGAGGGAAGTCCTAACTGATTTGTTTCTTTGTCTCAGTAAAGTGTGAGGAAAAGGTGTCAGTTGAGAGAAACAGTGATTGGGAGTGGGCAGGTGAAAGGGCTGATAGTACTGACCATTAGACTAATGAGCCACTAAAAATAGTGGCAAAGAGGTAGAAAGACAAAGAGTGAAGTATTAAAAGTCCTCAAAGAAAAGGACTGAGGCATCTGTGGAGGGCTTCCCATGGGACATAGGAGGTGATAAGGTCTGAGGTGAAAACCTACTACTAAAAAACATGGTTAATCAAGTGGGTGTTTTTAAAATCTGTTTGAGTTGAGTTCTTTGAAGGTATAGTTTAGATATACGTATCATAGCCCAAAGAGCGTAGGACAGGATGGTAAATGACTTATCTCTATCTTGTCCTGCTCAGAACATGACTTGGATCAAAAAATTCTCATAGGTTTTATTTAGTTGACTGCTTAAAACCTCAAAAATGTCTTTTCCACATTTACTTTTTCTTAAAACCCCCAGTTTCATTGTTCTTGGTGATCTTTACACTCCACTGCCTGCTGAAACATCTTCCCCGTTATTCAGATATTCTTGTTCATGTCTCCTGCACTGGCCTTGGCTTGAGAGATGGCTGCTAATCTCAGAAACAACACATGGCATGGCTGGGATTTGTTTAGAACACATATTGTTTCATGGAATCCTAAACTCCTGGGTTTTAGGGTTGAAAGAACCTTCGTGTTCATTTAAGCCAATTACGCTCTCTTTTTTCATATTATTGACTCCCTGCTTTTTTTTTTTAATTTATGTATTTGTACATACAGAACTGGGGTACAGGCCAGAAGCTCAGGGGTGGCTAGAGGCTTCACCAGAGACAGAGTGGGAAACAGAACAGGCATATTGACGAAGTACACTGCTGAGGGGAGCAGTGGGCCGGTCAGGAGAGGTCTGCCACGCTATATGGTCACCTCCGGGGCAGGCGGGAATCGAACTCATGCAGAAGTGGCTTTAGTTTCTCAATGCAGTGCTTTAACCGCTGTGCCACCAGGGAGGACCCTTTGACTTTACTTTTCTTGTCTGCCTATAATTGTTTCATCTGTCTTTTGTTAGAAAACACTGAGATTAAAACTTTAAATGATTCTGTGAGAGTTGAATGTCAAAGATTCTTAAAATATTAGGCTTCATGTTGCTTTAAGCAGCAGTGGTTTGACACCCTTGGACATGACATTTTTTGCTTTGAAAATCATACAGATTCAACTAATGATTTCTCTCCCATAGAGCTTCACTTTGCAGGGGGCACCATTAAAATTTCTCTTTCACTTGCACTTTATTCTTTGAAGAGAATATGATTCTAGAGTTTGGTTCTTAGCTCTGTAATAATCTGTTAAGTTATAGACCTTTAATAAACAATGAGTATTCCCTTTATATTTCTTATCAACACATATCAATCAGCATGTAAAAACTGAAGACATTTACCACTGTGGAACAAGTCAACTGTCTGACACTGAATACATAAGTTTTCAGATCCTGATAATGTGGTCAAAGTCTGAATCGTGTAGTATGTAAAGTATTCAGATCTTTACTCAACAAGTGAACTGACATGAAAGAGCAGGGCCTTTGAAGACAGCAGACCTAGGTTTATTCTCAACTTTGCCCTTGTCAGCTCTCATGCAGTTCTAGTGTCTCTGTCAAGAAGTTAGATTGGTGCAGTTGAAGGCTGTTTTCAGTTGTTGTGTCTGTTGATTCCACTGGCTGTAAATCAAAATAAATCTGATAATAAGAAAAATATAACTTCACATACACACACACACACACACACACACACACACACCCATTATCTTACAGACTGCTGGTTATTTATTCTTTTAGTTCATGCTATTTCAGTAGCAAATAGTTAATATTACCTTGGATGGATGGACGGGTGGATGGATGGACAGACAGACAGAAAGACACTCACTTTTGACAGTTGAGACAGCCTAACCATTCTAACCATTGTGCTAGGTATGAGGAATACAAAGGTGAGTGAGATAGGAATTCCCCTTAAGTAGATCCTCATCTAATGACCCTAAAATCAAATAATTTTCTAAAGCACAATAAGTTCAGGAGTGCGGAAGAGCACAGAATTTGTTATTTGTCTTTTGTATTTTTTGTAGAATCAATGTTTTCCTTGTGATTTATGTCTTGTATAGAGAATTCTTACTGGAATTCAATTTTAAAAAATGACACATACTTCCTTTGAGCTACTTAATGAATACATGTTTTTAGAATTGTATTCTTATTGATTTACAACTTTATATAAATTTGAGGGGCACATATGCCCCTCTCTGTGTAGACAAGCCTCTCTTCCCCCACCACCAAAGATCTGATCATTCTCACTTCTCTCCACCCTACTCTCCCACTCTGGTAATTCCAGTCTAGGAGTTGTTTTGGCTATAATTTGACAGTGTCTTGCTTTGGTTATTGATATTCCACATAAACAAAAAAAAGAAAAATATGATCATTTTCTTTTGCTTCCTGATTTATTTTGTTTAGCATAATCACCTCAAATTCCATCCATGTTGTCACAAAAGGGAATATTTCATCTTTTTTGATAGCTGAGTAATATTCAGTTCCACATATATATCTCACAATCTCTATCCAGTCATCCATTAATAGGCATTTACGTTGTTTCATGTCTTCATAATTGTGAATTAGTGTTTTTAATCTTCAGATAAATATCTGGGAAATAATATCCACTTTGAGATTTTTAAGAAATCTCCATACTGTTTTCCATAAGGGCTATACCAGTTTACCTTCCCACTAGCAGTGAATGAGTCTTTTATTTTTCTTTATCCTCACCAGCTACTTTGAGAGAAGCCATTGTCACCCATGTGGGGTGGTAGCTCATTGTGATTCTCCTTTGCATTTCCCTAAATGAAGTTAAACAGTTTTTCATTATCTATTAGTCATCTGTATTATCTTCTTTGAGAAGTGTCTGTTCAAATCCTCTGTCCCTACCCCCCTTTTTAAATTGATTTGTTTGGCTTTCTGTTGTTAAATTTTGAATTCTTTATATATATTGAGTATTAAATCCTTGTCAGATGTACAGTAAGCAAACATATTTTCCCAGTCAGTAGATTATCTTTTCTTTTTCTGTGGTGGTTTCTTTTGCTGTACCAGTACATGTTTTAAGGTAAGTTGGGAATCTAATTTTCTCATCATTTAAAAAAATTTTTTTGTGGTAATTTTGTTTTTTCCAAATTCTGTGGCCAAATATATCCATGTTCCTTGTTTAACAAAAGAAAACAGGAAATACTGGCACACAAAGAAAATGGGTATTACCCTATGATCCTACCAGAATCCCTTATTAAATGATAAGTTGACTTTAAAAGATCTTATGGTGTGTGTAGGGGTGTGTGTGTGTGTGTGCGCGCGCGTGTACAGATATATGAAAAAGACTTTTTCTTTCAAAACAGAGCCTACTGGCATATTGGATGTCTGGTACATGAAACAATACATTGACTACAACACACAACAGATCTCTCTTTTCTGGAAGGTAAGATTTCACTTTCTAGTTACAATTCAGTAGAAGTATGTACAATTTGTTTAGTTTTTTGAGAAATAACTGACATGTAAAGAGAATTATATATAAGTGAACAGTAGGAAACTTTAATACAAAGCTGCAGAAACTTGGTGTCCTCAAGATATTTGACTTAGTGTCATTCAGTTTACCAAATAAAGGTGAGAGCTCCGAGTTCCATCCTCCATGTAATCATGTCTTCTCCCCATCCACTTATAATTGGCCTCCCATGCATTTTCACCCTCTGACCCCCTATACCTTCTCTGCTGGCTTTTTCCCCTCTGTCAACCCCTCTCTCTCCATATACAATTTGCCTAGCAGTGACCATGCCACCTACTCACTTTTTGAAAAATTAAAAATGGGAAGACTGTATTTAGATATTTAGGGAATACATTTTTTATAGTCATTGAAAGGGAAAGGGAGAAAAGAGAGCCTCCCTACCTTGGGAAGACTAATAGTAGTAGAAAATAATACAAATAGCAATAAATAGAAGTCCTTCCTCAGGAACAGTTATATAGCAGTAAATGAACAAACTTCTAGAAAACAATGAGAACTAATGTTATTACCGAATGTGAAAGTTTCACAGAGTGCTAAAAGCTGGCATTGTCATTTCACTTAACCCTTACAAAAACCCTATGAAGTAAATACCAGTATCCCCTAACCAATTGAATGAAGAATGGAGAGTCAGAGAGAGAGTTCTTTCCAAAGTCACTCAGCTCGTACAGTGTTGAGACTGAAACCCAGTCCCAACCTCTTTGTGATACATCGTGACTCATCTTTGTCCAATGTGAATACTATTGAATTGAATTGAGCTACTGACTGGCATGATCTTAAGAGGTTTCTATACTCCTCTTATTTCCCAAAACCTGCATCCCACTCACTACCCCTCTTCCAGTTAAGGGTAATAGGTAGTTTTGGAATTATGAAGCTGAAGAGCATGAAACTAGAGGAGTGAAAGTAATGAATATAAAGGCTTCTTATGGAGTTAGTGTGATCAATTTTGATAATTGCAATCTTCAGTTTTAAGACACGAGGCTCACACAATTTAAATACTTCATATAAATTTGAGGTATTTATAATATGTGCATATGGTGAGGATTTTGTTTAATCAGTACTGGAAAACCCGATATGAGGGACACCCCACCACTGCAGAGAAGGTTATTTCAGATATTGGCTGCAAAAGAAGCCCCAAGTAAAACCCCAGCAGCCTGTGAGAAAAGTGAGAGCATATTTCTTATAGCTATGAGGTGCAAGATGAGCTTTCATTTTTGTAGGATATTTACACTAGAGAACAACTTTGTGCTGAATGAATGCAGCCTGGTTTAGAGGGAGCTGAGTATGTGTGTGAAGGTAAGTATGTGGGACTGTGTGATTTTGATGTGTGTGCATATGTGATGTATATGTGGGCAAGTGGGAAGGGCATCGTGAGTGTGTGTGGGTTTTGTATGTGTGTGAGGGATGTTCATATGGTTACCTATTTGTGTGTGTGTGTATACGTATGTGAGATTTGTATATATAATATATATATATATATGAGTGTGAGATTTGTGTGTGTGTGCGTGTGTATATATGGCTTGTGAACACAGAAATCTTTTCTCAAAAGTTCTAGAGAGTGGAAATCCAAGATCATTATGGTCTGGTGAGGGTGCTGCTTTGAGTAGAATTCTTACTATATCCTCATGAAGGAAGGGACTTAGAAACTATTTGAGGGACTTTTATAAGAGCACTAATTTCATTTATGAGGGCCCCTGCCTCATATCACTTCCCAGAATTCCTACCTGCTAACACCATCACACTGAGCATTAGAATTTCAACATGTTTCGCTCTTGGAAGCATGGAGACATTCAGACTATCAGATGAGTAAGTGTTGAAGGTATGAGTATTATTTGAGTTAGAAGGAGGTGGGTGTGTGCATGTATGTGGGTATGAGTGTGTGAGTGTCAGTGGGTGTGTGAGTGTGCTGAGCGTGAAGGAAACCTTTGTTTTGCTGCTCTTTTTCCCACATAATTACTCATTTTCCCACACTTTGGTTTCTCCTGGAAGCACCATTTCCTCAAAAATAACCTGTGCTATTTTTTGTCATCGCTTATTTTTAAGAAAAGAACAACTTAATCTGTGAATAAAACAAGAACACCTGTGTATTATTAAAAGGGAAAATGCAGTAACAAGTAGAAAATGTTGCAATAGTGTTGTGTTAGCCACTTAATAAAGGCTTGTAGCAGTCCTTTTCATCAGATTTTCTCATCTCCTTCTGTATAAAATTTCATACTGTTCCCTTTACTTTGACCTAATCTCAGTCCTCAATTCCAGTACATTTCTTTCAGTTGATACAGCATGTTTCCTTGAAGACGAAAACCACCTTGAAAAAACACACACACACACACATATATATGTATGTATATATGTATATATATATATAAAATTTGAAAAGTTCCTTCTGTTAATTTCTTTAAAGTGCTTTCTCACTATTTTGATCATAGAAAATTGCAGATTTTCTGACATTATGACTAGGACATGGCTCTGGAAGAGAAACACCTGTGTACAAAGGAAGCTGAACTTCATTCATTCATTCATTCAAATATATTCAGACCCACCTTTAATAATACCAGATGCTGCATACTACGGTTATGGCAGAGAAGGCAGATCTAGTCTGGATGTCCTTGAATTTATAATCCAACAGGAGAACAAAAATAGGACTGGGATAGATGTGGGCACTCAGTTGCTGGGGGTGCTGATGGCCCTCTCTCCAATGGAGAACAGGAGATGGTGGGAAGTAAGAGAGGTCTTCTCAAAAGGTAATATTGGAGCCAACATGAGAATAAAGGCATGAGAACATTTGGCAGGAGACCCAAGGGAGACTCTGAGCTTGGCATGTAAAGGATCATTTTGATGAAGCACTGCCCCATAGAATTATGCAAAATTTAAATTTTTCTTATAGCCACACTTTAAAATATAAAAATCATTCAGAGTTAGTTTTAATAATACATTTTATTCAACCCAAAAGTATCTGGAAGTTTATTTTAACACATAATTAATTTTATAATTGATGAGCTATTTCATATTACTTTTTTCCTAATAAATAGCCTTTGAAAGACGGTGCATCTAATAAGTGCCAGAATAGCACAGTGGCTAAGAGCTCACCCTTGGAGTAGCAGCACACTTCAGTTCAGCCTAGCCACACTTCCAGAACTCTGTGGCCCTATACACTAAGTGGCTCCTTCTGTAGTGTATAGTGAGATTTCTGAGCTTTGACAAAGTACAGAGAAGAAAGTCAGGGAAACTTACAATTTCAAAAGGAGAGAAAACATTTGTTGTTTGTACTCATTGTTAAATGAAGGTATTTACTTTGATAAATAGCTGCCCTCAAACCACAGAACTCAGTAAGAAGGACAACAGCAAAGACTTTAACAAGTCAATAGTATAGCCTCAGGAACACTTTTGTGGCCAGAGGTAGCTTACAGGTACATTCTTTCTCTCTGCATTACTTTGTCAAATGAAAATAATTGCCCTTGCACTGAAGAAATGAATTCTTTGGCCTCCTCATCTAAAGGAAGTTCAATAAAGGTAGAAATCATAGGCCACAAGTCGATTGTAACTTCCCAGGGAAGATTGGCTGCCAAGAGCTTGAGGCTCATATAATTATTGAAGGTGTTCAGTCTCAGAATTAGTATTTAAATACAGAAGTAGTCAGTGGGGAAATCTCAATAGTTTTGTTGCAATATTCAGTTCTCTCCCCTTCCTTTTCCCAATTCTGTTCTATTGCTGGCTGGCACAGCATTTCTGAAGCTATTTTCTGAAGATAACTTGCTTAGTAGTCATCATTTATATCAGCTGTCGAGAATATCAGTTGGATAGGAGAAAGACAGTAGGTCTTTGAGAAAGACGGTAGGTAACAGAATTAACAGAAATTAAAAAACAGTAAAGGAGTTAAAGTTTTGCTTTGCCAAAAGTTTCCAGTATTTTGTTAAAAGTCTTTCTAGCTGCAAAATAAGATGGAAATCATAAAACCAGAGTAACTACCATGAGGTATAACTATTCATTAAATTGGTCAGTGTAGCAAAACACCTCGGGAATGTCTGTGGTCTGCTGTGGTGGAGAGTTCATCCTGGCAATAGAGCCATGCTACCAGGGTTCAAGTTCCAGTTTCACCATTTACCGGCTGCGTGTTCTTGAGCAAGCTTAATCTTTCTGTGCCTAACTTTCCTCATGAGTGAAATGCAGATAATAGTAAGAAGTGTTATATGACTTTATTATGAAGATTAACAAGAGTATATCTGCTTAGTCACTGTTAGGAGGCAAACAGTGCTTGTCAGTCTAGTGAAAAGACAAATTCATCAAATGTTTCTATGCGATGATTTTTAAAACTTCCAGATGAGCATTGTCATTTGAGTCACTCATATACTTTTGATTGGGGTTGCTTAAGGCAGTCATGAGTTCCAAAATCAAGGTAGCCAGGCTTAAGCCCACAAATGATAGGTACTTTCTGATCAGCTGTATGACATTGGTGTGACTTCCATATAGATCCATGGCATGAGCTGAGTCAAGAGGGCCTGGTTCTCTATGAGTCATATGAATATGATAGGAAAAAATGCCAATTGTGACTATTGTTATATTACAGTAATAGAAAAAAAGAAGTCAGCATCTTAATATCTGTCATGCACAAAAAACACCCTCAAACAGTCTGCTTCCATTTGTTCATTGACTCCTCTTGTAATCTATGCTGCACATGGAAATATCCTTTTATACAGATAAAGTGGAGGCTCAGAGATAAAATGACTTGCCCAGGGTCACAAAGCTACTATGTATGGAGTAGGAAAGAAATTATCTCCCCTGATAAGGAAAACAAAGTCTAGCTATGTTCAAAAAAGCCTTTATAGACAAAGCTATTTGAATCATGAGAAATTCAATAATAAAGTATTATTTTATGGCAAGTAGTTTTCTCTTTAAAGTTCCAAGAAGAAATAATTTATGAATTCACAGAAACACCCATCTTCCAGTATTCTTAAAGACAAAACCAAAACCAAATTCTGAAATGTGAGGCACAGAATTCTGAAATGTGTCAAATTTTGTCCTATCCTGTACTACATTCCAAATCATTTTTGTTATTGAAGTCTTTTCAGGCAGCAAAGCTCTTATAATAAATTCATCAGTGGCTGTTTACTTGTTGCTTCTCAGACAAACATTAAGTCAGAAAGTCTTTCCAAACTAAGTTTCTATCATTTCCACAATACAAAGAAGAAAAATAACTGAAGGACAGAGACAATAAGACAGCTTCTCCCTCTCTCCCTATTTTTTTTTTTTTTTTTGCATTCTCTAACCACAAAGTACAAGAAGAACCAGCCTGCCAGAACAGCCTGCCACATTCTGAATATTGTCTTCCTCACTTTCTTCCACTAGGGGGTGCACTAAAATCTTAGATTACTCTTCTGTAACACTTGAGTTTTTAACCTCGCCAAGCTTTCAGACATCATTAGAATGGGTAGGGGGAGTTATAAGAACTAAATATGATATTTGTAAAGTTATTGAGTCATGGAATAACCCAATAAATTATGGTATTTTCCTTGTTACCCACTCAAAAAAAACAAACATTTGATTAAAAGTAAATGTATCTAGGAAGACCAGCTGCCTGCATAGGTCTGCACTTCTGAATTCATAATGTCTCCTTATGACCCATGGTTTGTCAATTCTGGGAAAAAAAGAATCCTGAATATTTATCCTTCAAATTGCTGACTTCATATCTACTGTTGCTGCTCCACTTTCAAGGGTACCATAACCTTATGATTAGAAAATCCACATTGTAATTTTGGACCAGAAAAGTGATTTAGGTTTCTAACTATGAAAGATGGTACCCCCATACTAGAAGTTCATTGTCTTAATTCATTGACAGTCAATAAAAGAAGTATCACATCACAGCAGAGGAAACGCTAGTCTAGAAGTCAGCATCCCTGGATTCTACCCTCACTTCCTTTCCTATCCCCAAGTGCTCTTAAACAAGTCACTTCATGTCTCTGAATCTTAAGAGGAAAAGTTGAATTAATAATCTGTAAAATCCATACTAATTCTGCTATTCTATGATGATACACCATCCCACCAGGGCCAAGTGTAATCCGGGGGTGATTTATTACATACATTATTGAAAACATTATGTTAATATTTAAAAAAAAAACTCATTACAGGGATGTGTCACTTACCATTTCAGTGACATACACAATCATCTTCCCTGTAGGTTATACCATATAGTCCAGGTGTGTAGTAGGCTGTCCATTAGGTTTGTATAGTTACACTCTTGTCATTCACACAATGACAAAATCACCTAACACATTTCTCAGAATGTATCACAGTCATTAAGTGATGCATGGCTGTGTACTGTTTTTTAGTTGCCTCAGGACACTAAGTACCCAACTGGCTGAATATCTATTCTCCTGTTAGCTCATTGAGATTTTTCTCCATGGTCCCTGTTAGACAAGTAAGGTCCATTTTCCAGTTTGGTTAAGGAGCCTATCTAACCGAGAGCTGTTTACATTTATCCCCAAACTTAAACTTGACATTTTATAAGAGCATAACTCGTGGGATACCATAATTATTTGTCTAACTACCAACACTTGCCTTCTCACTGATGTTTTTAATTTTAAAATATGTGATACAGAGGAGGAGATGTAAAGGGTTAGGTTAGGCCTTTCTCTACCTCCTGAGAAGCTTCATGATCTTGCAGATCTTCTTTGTTTACTAGATGGTCAGAGATGTCCACAGCAGTCAGTAGTCATTGGCTCCAAGATGACTTGACATGTTACCCCTTATTTCAGCACTTTACGATTGGATTGAATGTGATTACTGGGGTGTCTACGAAAGACAGTGACAAGGAGGTAATAAGGGCTGATTTGTAAGGTGTGGTTTCTAGTTAATACTCTGGTTCCTTAGTTGTCAGAGTGAAACTGAAGTTCTTTGGATCCCTAGCAAGAATGGGGAGTTTTATGAGTTCAAGCAATTCTTGAGGGACACCCTTACACTAGGGGTGCATAGGATAGGGATGGAGAATTCTTCTATTTGTAGACTCAGAGAAGAGACATACAGCAAAGGATGAAGAGCTGAGAAAATGGTCTTCACGAGCCAGCTTTTGCTTTAATTTATCCTGTTTTTTTCTTCTACAAAAGGCATCTTTGTAAATAACAGTTCAAAACATCACACTTTACAAAATCACTCACTGTAATCCAGCAATGATGTATATTTGAGATACTAACCTTCTCTGTTCTTACCAGCACACAAAGATGCCTTCTGGTAAAGGCTGAACATACTCCCAGGGGAGCCCTCTGCAGCCAGCATTTACCTCATGCATTTACCATGGCTTAAGATCCAGTCTTGGGCCTTGTATATCCAGAAGTGCATCAGAAACCTAGAGTAACCAAGCTCCCGGAGACTGATATATATAAATATAAAAAACTGGGTGTTTACGGATTAATTTACAGTGAGAATGCAGCTGTTGTACCAACCAGAAAGATTGAGTCAGCAGACAGGAACATTTTCTCCCTGTTTGCTAATTATTTCAGAAGCCAAATTATAATCAGAATGCCAAGTTACTCACTTCAAGTGAAAAATACAAATTTTAAGTGAACCAAATATTGGTGTTAACCCAGCTTATCCTGACAGATAGGAAATCAAATTATTAGGTGATTCCTTAGAGAGCAGGGAACAAGAGAAAAGGGTGTTTGCCAGTCCTAAAGTGTATCTTCTATTCAGCAGTTTAAGGCCAACCTTAAACAACTCATGGAAGGAAAACCTCACCAAGAAAGCTGTAATGCTTGTGCCTGGTGATCTTAACCTTCTTCCCCTGCATGGGGCGTGAATGGGCACTGCCTGTCTTGCCATTTTCAGTGCTTCTGTTTCCCATGGTCCTTGTCCAAACAGGGTTACAATGCAAATAATTAGTTTTCTGCTCACTTTCTAGGATTGCTTTCAAATGATCTCAATTGGAATTTCTGCAGTTCTAAAATTTGTTAGTTGCATACTTTTAAAATGTTTCAGTTTCTAGCACAGATGGCTAATCTATTTCATTAAGTGTGGATTTTACAAATTTGGCTCTTAAAATTTAATTTCATGAACAGTGATGCACTTTCTGTATAAAGAGTTAAACATGAGTCCCAAAGGCACCAAGTACCTTGCCCCCAGTCACACAGCAGATAATCAGTAGAACTGGAACCTGAATGAATTCAGTACCCACTCTTGTTCCATTGGATGTGATTGAGTTCTCCACTATTAAGAAGTTTTGTTTTGAGGCAAGATTTAAAAAATCTATGTGTTTTAAAATTTAACATTTAAAAAATGTTAGCATGTTTTATGCTAAATGGCAGGGATGGGCACTTAAGAGTGTAATGGAGAAGTGTAAATAAGGAAATCACTTGGATGTAGCCCTGCTGCCACAGAGCATCCAGCCACCCTGGCAGAGTACACAGTGATGGATGTGGTTTTTTGCAGAATCTGAGTGTATCAGAGGCAAGAGGAAAAATCCTTCACTACTGGGTGACCTTGCATGAAGTGACAGGAAGGAAAATCACACTAGAAAACATCACAGAAAATACCTCCTGGACCTGGATTATTCCCAGAATTGGGAATTGGACTGTGACTGTATCTGCAGCTAATTCAAAAGGCAGTTCCCTGCCTACTCATATTAATATAACGGACCTGTGTGGGGCAGGTAAGTACCATCCTTTCTCTTATCTTGCCTGTGAGGAACTGAGTCTTACTCATCTCTTATCTCTGGACACTGGCTCCACCCCAGTATCTGGCATGAATAGCATAGGTGTGTAGACCTTAGAATCAAAAACTTGCAGAGGCTTTTTCCATTCAACTAATGAGTGGCCTTGAACAAATGAATTAACACTGCTGAGCTTCAATCTCCTCCTTTCTAAAGTAGGGATTATATTACCTGCTTTGCAGGTCATTATGAGATTAAATACAGAGCCTAATACATAGTCAGTGCTTAATGAATGTTTAAGAAATATGAGAAATATTAAATTAATACTAATGTCTGGCTGATTTTTCCAAAGGCAATAATAGTAGGTATTATCAACGTCTAGAACAAACATTCTACATTCACAGTAATATATATTTTAAAACCAAGTGTTAAAATGGAATTCTGGCCGTAAAGAAACTGCAGATCTTCCTTAAATTACCTCCCAGTAAGCCCATCTAGTTGAAAATATCGTTAAGTCAAAAATATCCGAAATTGAAAAGGCATTCATCCACCTAATCTGCTTAACCTAGCCTTCCTTAAGATGCTCAGGACACTTATATTAGCTAACAATTGAGCAAAATAACATAAAGCCTATTTTGTAATAAAATATTGAATATCTCAAACATAGATGGGAGATAATGGGGGTACAAAAATACAAGATCAGAAAATCTCAGGCAACGTAGTATACTGTAGAGTATCAGTTGTTTACCCTGGTGATAGAATGGCTGAGGACAAGTTATGGCTTGAAGTCACTGTCCAGCATCAGAACATTATTGTTCACTCAGGAAAAGATCAAAATTCAAAACTCAAGGTAGAGTGCCTGTTAAATTCAGTTACTTTTGCATCATACATAAAGTAGAAAAATCACTAAATGAAACATCATAAATTGAGGGCTGCCTATGTAGTAAAATTTTGCTTTACTGCAGCTCTTTCTTACCCAAATATAGATATGTGTCCTGTTATTTACACTGAAAATTTCTCAGCTAGCTATATGTGTTTCATAATTATGTCCTCTGAAAACTATAATAGCATCTCAAGGTAAAAGCCCATGCATGATTAGTTAAGAAAATAGATATTAAAACTGTTTCTCAAGAGTTCTATTACAAGTGGATTACATATCAAGATTATTAGTCTAACTTTAAAGATAACAATTTCTAATAGAATAAAACTTTATAACTAGGTCCCTTCCTCAAAATTTGGTGCAACAATTTTATTTATATGTGGGTCTAGCCGTTATCATTTCGAAGAAATTATTTTAAATATACTATTAAATTTTTTTAATATTTATTTATGAAAGAACTAGAGCACAGGCCAGAGGTGCAGGGGGTGAGAAGGTTCACCAGAGACAGAGTGGGGAGAACAGGCAGATTTACTGAAATACACTGTTGAGGGGAGCAGCAGGTGAGACAGAAGAGGTCTGCAGCACCATTTTGGTCACCTCCCTAGCCGGCCATTGCACTTGTGCTGCATTGGCTGTGAGGAGCTTCATAGTACTGCACTTTAACCCCTTGCACTGTTAAATCTTTGTTCTGTATCTTTTTAATGATAAATCTGAGGTTACATAGTAAGTGAAAAGAACACGAAGAAAATATAAGGAAATACTGGTAGAACCTTGGGGTAGTATATGAATTAAGGATTTTTCTCAGGAGTAAGGGTTGCCCTTACCATAGGTGTGACTACAGTGACTTATTCTTTCACATATAAGTTCAGACTTACATAGCCCACAGCTAGTGTGATAGCTTCATTACATTGTCAGAAATCCAGGCTCCTTTCTGTTCCACTTGCCAATCTTGGCTTCCCTTCTCAAGATGGAAATGTTCCAAGATGACTGCTGAAGCTCTAGCCATTTCCTTCTAGCAGAAAAAAAAGAAGGAAAGAACAAAGATTTACCCTTCACTGTTGAGGCACTTTGCCCCAGGTAACACAACATTGCAGTTATCATTAACCCTAACTGGTCACCTTCTCATATCCAGCTGCAAAGATGGCCCAGAATAAGCAGCAGTGTTCCCTTAAAGATGAAGATAGGATATTTGGTAGGAAGTTAACAATCTTTGCCTCAGGTAGGAAGGCATTTAAAGCAAAAACCTAAAGGAAAAGAGATTCATGATGAAAAAATATATTTATTATATTTATGCATAGTAAAGTAAATATTTTTAAAACATCATAATAAATCCTCAAAATACACGTAGCATTTTGACAAAAGTCTTTCACATTTTTTGCAAAAAAGAAAAAAAGAATTCTATCAGCTATCCATCTAACTTTTTCAAATAAATGGATCAGGGCTTAGAACAGGCAACTCAAAGGATAAATATAAAGGAGTAATAAAAACATGAAAATATATTTATCCTAATTATTAATCAACGGGATGTGAATTTTTTAAAAACATAAGAAACCAAATTAGAAGAGACAGGTCAGTTTTAGCCAGGTGAAAGATTCAGGTGTTCAGTGAGAGGATTTATTCTAAAGTGAGATGTATGTGGATATACAAATTGAAAAAAAGGGGGGGGACATGAAAAATATAGGGACAATTCATGAGAGACATCTCTGGGGAGCTGGAAGATGAAGGGATCAAGAGACAACAGGAGGTGGGAATATGTCTTCTCTCAGAATGGACAGATGTTACTTCAGGATGAACATGTAGGGGAGGTCCAGCAGGGCATTGAAAAAGCTCTGTACAACTAAGTGGTAGCTAAGAGGGGCCTGGACCTGAAAATTGTGCCATCACAGAGCTTATTGTCTTTCCTAAAGCCACAGTCCAAAACCATCCAGTCTCCTAAAACCATCCAGTCCAGTAATTGTAAACCCCAAAGTGATCTGGAGGCCAAAGTGGCAAGCCAGTTCCCAGCACTGATGCTCATCTCACACATACTCTGAATGATTTGCAGGTGCAGGAATAGCGTGCTATGATTTTGTGTCTATGTCTCTTTCGGTGTATGTTCGCACTATTCACCTATGTAGCTTTCCTTCTAAAAGGGGAAAAATAAAAATGCCCCCACTGAAAGAATTATTTTAATTTTGAGAAAACAGAACAATTTGATTATAAAAGGCACCTTCCACAGCATTGCCTATCAAAAAGCACAAGAACATTGTGTTGACTGGTGTGAAAGTGTATTAAACCCACTATCAACAAATCAAACATGTTCCAAAAATTCTTAAACCTACAAGAAGAGGCAGAAACCAGTTCAGTCAGAAACAGAGGACCACAGAGATGTCAGGGACTGAGGCCCCAGGAGGTGAAGTAACTTAGCCAAAATCATATATCCAATTAGTAGCAGAGCTGGACTGAAAAATCAGCCTGCCTATCCCTTTGGTGGGCACTTTGTCTGCTACCTTATGAACTTTACAACTTTATTCAGAACCTCTCCTTTTAATGGAGATGGGGCATTGAATGATGAAGACAAAAGGAATCATTTTGAAAAGTGACAGAAAGTGGTGAGTTGTGAGCAAAATTCTGAAGAAGAGACATGCCCTGGCAAACATTGTGGGGGAGGAAATCCAGGCTGTTTCCTGGCAAGTGCAGTGACTCAGAGGTGGGAAAATGCCAAGTTGACTTGCTTGGCTAATTCCAGAGACAGCAGTGTTTAAAAAGGGTGCTTTGGTTATTTTAGCCCATTGCCTGGCAAAGGGTCTTGTGAGCCAAGCTGCTCAATGAATATTTACTGAATGAATAGATTTATTCCTTAAAATAAATAGTAAATGCATACATACATGTATAAATGAACAAATAAACAAATGCCATGCCATAGCCAAGACATCAAATGCCACTGCAAATGAAGACAGGAATGAATGCTAGGAATTCCAGTTCCTGCCCCAGTAGCCAATACCCAAGTTATGGGCTCTCACTACCAAAACTGCCCCTGAAAGATGGGATGGTGATGGCTAACCCCCTGTGCAACGGAGCATAGTGATGAAGGCAGAGAGCTGAGGTACACTTTCTAGTTGTATTCCTCTTTTTTTCCTGCATTGCTGGGCATTTCTTATGGAGCCAAAACTCTGAAGAGCAGGGCACAGTAACTTCAAGGACACCCTGGAGCCTACCTGGGGAGAGCAGCAACAGTGGACTTGTCTATTAACTGCCAGGGATTTGTTCCTGCCACTGGCAATTACAACAGAATCATAGTCCCACTCCCCTTAAAGAGCAATGCCAAGCATAGATGCAAAGCAATGCCAAGCATAGAAGGAGCCAGGTATGCCTTAGGGTAATCTTGGCATAGGGAACACTCGTCTATCTTGAAAAGCTGCTCCTCCCCACCTAAACTTATGTGGAAGTGCATGAGCTACAGCTAAGTGATAGAAAAATAAAGATAATAGAGTAAATTCATTAGAAACAAGAAATAAGTAACAAAGGTAAGGACAAAAATAAATAAAATAGGCAATAATTATCATTTTTAATATAAAAATGACGGATTAAAACTAAAGTTGGTTTGCTGAAAAGCCTAAGGTAAGACCAGTTTGGTGGTATTGCAAAGTTAGGTGAGGTAGGGAGAGAGAGAATGTAATAAAGTATCAGACAAAATGAGGAAGAAAGAATAACTTTCTCCCACAAACAGTAAAAGCAATAAGTTTCTAGAAAAAATGCAAAATTGTCAAAGGAAAAATGTAACTAACGGACTAACTATTCAAGAAGTCAAAATGTCAAAAATGTATTCAAAATGTTATGTCCTCCAAAAAAAAAAAATTCCTATGTCCAAGATTTTTTCACAATCAAACTCTGAAAAAACAATCTTATGTTACTCAAATTATTTTAGAAAAATAGAAAACTACCCACTCTATTTTATGGGACTGATTGAACTGTAATATTAACATCTGATAGAGAGTACAAAAAGAGCTGTAGGCTACTATGGGTTATGAACATTAAATGAATTGTTAGTGTCTTGAATCTAATACATGCATTAAAAACTAATACAGATGGCCCTCCCTGGTAGCGCAGAGGGCTAAAGCACAGCACAAAGAAGCTTAAGCCACTTCCACATGAGTTCGATTCCTGCCTGCCCCAGAGGAGATCCACATGGCGTGGCAGACCTCTCCTGACCCACCCACTGCTCCCCTCAGCAGTGTACTTCATCGATCTGCCTGTTCTGCTCCCCACTCTGTCTCTGGTGAATCCTCTCACCCTCCGCATCTCTGGCCTGTACCCCAGTTCTGTATGAATAAATAAATAAATCTTTAAAAAAAAAAAAAAACTAATACAGACACCTCTGGTTTCTCATCCAGCATGCAAGGAGCTTGGAAGTTGTCACTGTATCCTAACTACAAGTAAAAAAAATTGAGCAACTATGGTGATGGCACACGGGTGATTTGATGATGGGAAGCCCATGGGGATTATAACTGAGATGGGAAAAGGCACAAAAATGATGTAAAAATAAACTATTATATTATTTTTAAAAATTAAAAAAATATTGAACAAACTGAAAAATCAGCAGCTCTTTTTAGATCATTTAAAAGAGGCAAGGTCACAGTGTAAATTGCTGCTCCTAAAATTGGAGATAATCAGGCATGTAGAGGTTAATACTGAGAGTCAAAACTCACTGAAGGAAAATTCCACAAGTAGAAACCTCCATGGATACCAGTAACAGAGTAGGAAAAGCTAAAGTGCAGTTTACAAATTACTGGGGCTCAGACTGCACAAGTCTGAGAGAGAAAATCTTCAGGGGAGCAGTTAGGTAGGGCCCCCACAGTTTTACTTCAGGAGCTGTAAATATCAGAGAAAATCTCCTACTTCCAGCAGAGGGAGAAACAAAGCAATGATCTTGAATTATACTTAACAACATCTACCCTAAAGAAACAGTAATTTACTGGAGTCCAAACTATTGATAACTTAACCAAACCAACAGATGGGAAATACCCAGGCCAATCTAAGTGGCTTGTCCTACTTAATGGAACAGGGTGTAGGTGCAGTTTTACAAGTACTTTCAAATTTGGGGCACAGACTTGCTAACAGAGACCCAACTATACCACCATATTACTACAGAACTGTTTACCACAATTCCTTTTACTCATTTCACCTTGTAGTGCCACTATGAAAAAAAATTGAAAGGCATACTAAAAGACAGTTTGAAGAGATAAAACAAGCAGCAGAACCAGACTCAGATATGACAAGAATGCTAAAATTACCAAACCAGGAATTTAAAACAACTATAATGAATATACTAATACCTCTAGTAGATAATGTAGGCAGTATGTAACAATGGGCAATGTAAGTAAAGAAATGGAATTTCTTAGGGCAAATCAAAAAAAAAGTTAAAAATCAAAAACACTGTTACCGAACTGAAGAATACCTTTGATGACTAATTAGTAGAGTGGATATGAATGAAAAATATCTAAGCTTGAAGATATGACAGTGGAAATGTCTGAAGTAGAAAAGTGAAGAGAAAAATGCCTAGTATGTGGGATAGGGAGGTGAAGAACAGAACACACAGGATAACTATAACAGATGTGCTATACATGTAACTGGAATACTAGGAGAACAATCATAAAAAAGAAAAGAAATATTTGAAGCCATATTGACTGACCTATAGAAGAACAAAGATAAGAAAAACAAAGAATAAGGTAAGATATTTAATTTGTTGAAGGAAATAAAACTATCAAACTAGATTTTGTACCATGAAAAATTATCCTTCAAGAGCGAAAGACAAATAGACTTTTTCAAGCAAAGGAAAACTGAAGTAATTTGTTGCCTTCCTAGCAATGAAATGTTGTAAGAAGATTTTCAGGGAAAAGTAAAATGATATCCGGATTGTTTTGTTACTAGGCACTTCAACTACCTGTAAAGCTGTGTAGTACTCTTTAAAAGTACTTGGATTAGTTGTAAATGCACATTGCAAACTCTAAGGCCCTCACTTTAGATGTCAAATATACCAATTAAAAGATATTATTAGAGTTAATCAAAAAAACAAGATCCAACTACAAGCAACCATAAAGATACATTAGGTTAAAAGTAAAGTGATAGAGAATGATGCTATATTAACATCTTAACAGATCAAATGAAAGCGAGGGTAGCTATAGTAATTTTAGGCAGAGCAGGCCTCATAATAAAGAAATGTCAGGGATAAAGAGAGACATTAGATAAAGGTAAATAAATCAATTTTCCAAGAAGATACAACACCCCCCCCCTTATTCCTTTTGTACCATATATTAGTGAAGTCTTAGTGAAATAATAGGCGTATAGATTGGGAAGGAAGAAATAAAACTATTCACAGATGATCACTGATAAGATCAAATACATAGAAAATATAAATTAGCAAGCAAAAACAAACAAGCAAGCTCTTGTGGTGCTAGTAAGCAATTATAATAGTAAGGTTTCATTTATCTATATGCGAGCAATGAATAAAATGGAATTTAAAATCAAAAGCTCACTACCACTTACATTAATATCCCTCCCAAAAATACTTAGTGGAAAATCTAATAAATATTTTCAAAGTCTGAGGGAAACTAGAAAATTCTGATGAATGAAATCAAAAAAGCTAAGTAAATGGTGATATAGTTATGCTCAAAGATAGGAAGAATCATTATCATCAAGATGTCATTTCCTTTTAACATAGGTTCAACATAAGACCTGTATGTTAATTTGTGAACATTCACAGAATTATTGTACAGTTTAATGGAATAGCAAAACTGTGCTTTTGTACAGTTAAATGGAGTGAAACAATAAGAGAGAAGAACAAAGTTGAAAGATTGACACTACCCAATTTCAATCTTCTCTGAAGCTGCAATAATCAAGAGAGTGCTGTATCAGTTAAAGAATAAAATAGATCAGTGTAACAGATTTGAGAACAGCCCCTCAAATAGACCCATATAAATATAACAACAGACCTTTGCCAAAGGAGCAAAGGTGGTCTTTTCAACAAATGGTGCTGGAACAACTGAACAACCAGTTGTCCAAAATGGAAATCAGTAAGTGTAGACCCAGACTTGTATACCTTTCACAAATATTAACTCAAAATGTATCACAGACCTAAATTTAAAAAAACTATAAAAAATTATAGATAGCTTTTTATAAAAAGTTTCATAAATGGGCCCTCCCTGGTGGCGCAGCGGGTTAAAGCACAGCACTGAGAATCTAAGGCCGCTTCCGCATGAGTTCGATTCCCGCCTGCCCCGGAGGTGACCACATGGCGTGGCAGACCTCTCCTGACCCGCCCGCTGCTCCCCTCAGCAGTGTACTTCGTCGATCTGCCTGTTCTGCTCCCCACTCTGTCTCTGGTGAATCCTCTCACCCTCCGCATCTCTGGCCTGTACCCCAGTTCTGTATGAATAAATAAATAAATCTTTAAAAAAAAAAAAGTTTCATAAATGTTTTAGATAATCCAGATGACCTTGAGTTTGGTGATGACTTTTTTGATACAAACTAAAAGCAAAATCTATAAAAGAAGGGATCACTGAGTTGAATTTATTTAAAATGTAAAACTTGTAGCCCTCCCTGGTGTCTCAGCAAGTTAAAGCTCAGCACTGCAAGCAAGCTGCAGCTACTATCTTCCCCCTCCCCCCAGGAGATCCACATGGAATGGCAGACCTCTCCTGAACTGCCCACCGCTCCCCTCAGCAGTGTACTTCCTTGATTAGCCTGTTCTGCTCCCCACTCTGTCTCTGGTGAATTCTCTCACCCCGCTGTACCTCTGGCCTGTACCCCAGTTCTGTATGCATAAATAAGTAAATCTTTAAAAAAAAAAAAAAAGTAAACTTCTGCTCTGTGAAAAACAATGTCAAAGGGATGAGAAAACAAGCCCCAGACTGGGAGAAAGCATTTATAGAAGATGTATTTTTAAAGGACTGCTACCCAAAACATACAAGGAACACTTAAAAAAAATTTTTTTAAATATTTATTTATTTACTCATACAGAACTGGGGTACAAGCCAGAGATGGTGGGTGAGAGGATTCACCAGAGACAGAGTGGGGAGCAGAACAGGCAGATCAATGAAGTACACTGCTGAGGGGAGCAGTGGGCAGGTCAGGAGAGGTCTGCCGGGCCATGTGGATTTCCTCCAGGGCAGGCGGGGATCGAACTCATGTGGAAGTGGCTTAAGCTTCTTAGTGCTGTGCTTTAACCTGCTGCACCAACAGGGAGGGCCTGGAACACTTAAAATTTAATCACAAAAAATTTTTAATGATCTCAAAATGTGTAACAACCTTAACAGACTTCTCACTGAAGATAAATAGATGAAAAATATACACCCCAAAAGATGCATAATATCATACATGGTTAGGAAGTTGCAAGTTCAGGCAATGAGGTGCCACTAGACTCACAGTGGTCAAAAGTCAAAACAATGAAGATGCCCACTCAAGCACAGAAATGGAAAGTGAAATTAAAAGATGAGGGTAAAATAATTCCACAAACCATTATAGTACTGGCTCTTTGCACAAACCAGCGATGCCAGAACTGAGAAGAAGGATGAACATAAATTTGTAAACTTGAAGTCCTTAAAAATAATTTACTTCCTCACACCTTCCTGGAATGGGTTGTTTCTTATATCTTTTTATCCCCTATCATTTTGCTTTATCCCTGCCTGTTTTTTCCCTTGCAGAGTTGCTGGCACCTCACCAGGTTTCTGCAAACCCAGAGGGTCTGGACAACCTCATGGTGAGTTGGGAACCTCCCGGTAAAGCTGTCCCTGCTATCCAGGAGTACGTTGTGGAATGGAGGGAGGCTCATCCCAGAGGGGGCACAGAATCCCCTCCAAACTGGCTGCGGAGACCCCCTAACCACACATCCACTCTCATTTCAGGTACTTAATTGTTTATCTTCATTCTGGAGGGTTGCTAAGTTGACACTTGTTTGAAAAACTTACAGAACCTTACCTTCAGTTAAAGGTGGCTGCATGGGAGAAAGGACTTTGATAATCCAGGGTCCTTCAGGACAGTATCTCAGAATATACCACTGTGTATTTTTGAAGCTGTGGAAGAACACTGGTTTACTAAATATTGTAGTATTTATGAAAAATACATGCACCTGGCACATTCACTTATATTAGATGCATGTATTATTGAACCAAAGAAGCATGGCCGAGAGCTAAATAGTAACCAGTGAGTGTGGTAGGACTATTTAAGAGTGTGGTGTGCCCTTTAAGAGTTCACTTAATTCTCAAAACAAACATGTAAGACATTAGTTAATATAACCATTATACAGATGAGGAAACCAAGAGAATCTTTTATTCCTAATTCTACTTATTTGTGTGACCAGAAATCCAGAATTATTACTTACATGATCATTGGAGTTTTTAATTCTCAAATTCTGAATTTGTCAGACGTTATGATTTAGTTGATAGAAAGCATCTAAAAATGTATTTAAAAATTGGACAATTGTTAGAAGTAATTGCTAACAATGGCTTTTCAATGACCAGAAGCTGTCAAAACTGTTACTTTGATCTTTTGGGAAACAGTGAAAGCTCTGATTTGGAATGCCTTACATTGCCAGAGTGACCAACACAAAGGGAAAGAGGAGAGACCTCCCTGTACGTTCTCTAGGCCTTTTAGGAAACATGGAGGTGTTCCTTTGGCCACATACATGTAAATGATAAAAAAGGTTGATATTGTAGGCATCAAGGGGATGGACACTATTCAAGAAAGAATGCCCCACAAATATTACCATGGAATAGTCTATAATGTTACACAACACACAGTTAGTATTGTTGTAAACAAATACATAAAAAGCAAGATTCTTGCCAAGAGAATTAATGTTCCCACTGAGTATATTAAATGCTTTACAAGCCAAGACAACTTCCTGAAATGTATGAAAAGAAAATGATCAGAAAAAGAAAGGAACCCAAAGTGAAAGGTAGTCACCTTTGGATTACCAAGGTACTTGGAAGCACCAATCTGCTCCTCTAAAGAAGCATACTTTGTAAGAACCAGTGGAAAGGAGCCTGAGCTACTGGGACCCATTCCCTGTGAACTCAAAGCAGGAGAGGTGTGAGGTGAAAAAAAGACCTCCGGCCTATTAAAAAAAAAATACTGGGCAGAATTAAGTCAATGTCCTTTTGTTATGTTAAGCTCAGCATAGTGGTTAAAATTACTGGTCCCAAAGCCAGGCTATCTGGGTTTGAGTCCTGCCTCTGTCATTAGTTTGTATGACCTAAAGTAAACTACTTAACTTCTCTGCCTTCTCATTTTCCTTGTCTGTAAAATGGCGATAATATTACTTACCTCTCTGGGTTGTTGTGAAAACTAACAATACAAGGGAAATGCTTGAACAATGTTTGACACGGTAAGTCATGCTAATTTAGCTCTCTTTTTTAGTATTATATTGATATGTGACAGAGCTAAGATTTTAATAGACTTTCAAGCTCTAAATTCCTTAGTAATTGCATTACAGATAACAGTCATTATATCTGTCCAGGAGGATACATACCTTGCTTTATGAAAATGAGATAAAAGCACGCAACCCAAGACTGTATAAGAGGAGGTCCTTAACTATGTGTCTCTTTTATAGTCTAGCTGCTCCGGCTCTTAGTGTGTGGTGTTTAGTTTTAGCCCCTGCACTTAAAGGGAACACTGCCTAGATAACCCAGCCAGCATCAGAGAAATGTCTGACCCTTTTAATACAGAAACCATTTTGCCAATAAAAGAGAATTCTAGATGGGGGTGGGGCTGCTGGCTTTGATATGCACATGAGGAAGAGTGTGTATCCTTTCTTGTACTGGAGAGCCAAAGTAAGGCCCCTGTGTCAAAATTATAAGAAAGGAGATGACAGCTCAATTTTGGAAGAACTTTCCTTATGTGTTGAATAGGACAGGTGATTTCCCATCAGAGCAAGGTGTTCCCTCTCCCTAAATTGTTTCATTAGAATCAGGTTTCCTTTAGGGCTGTCAGCTCATCAAATCATATGAAATAGTGGCTAGAATAGACATTTACTGAACTCCAAACTGCTAAAAAATACAAACAGTTATAAACTGTACTAGCACCTAAAGTGGCGTGGTTTGAACCATGTAGTAGCTACTGTTCCTTACCTTTAAAGAGCCTTTATGGCCCTCCCTGGTGGCGCAACGGGTTAAAGCACAGCACTGAGAAACTAAAGCCACTTCCGCATGAGTTCGATTCCCGCCTGCCCTAGAGGTGACCACATTGCGAGGCAGACCTCTCCTGACCCGCCCACTGCTCCCCTCAGCAGTGTACTTCGTCGATCTGCCTGTTCTGCTCCCCACTCTGTCTCTGGTGAATTCTCTCGCCACCCCTGAGCCTCTGGCCTGTACTCCAGTTCTGTATGAACAAATAAATAAATCTTTAAAAAAAAGAAAGAAAGCCTTTATTTCCACACAAATGCTGTAAAATAGATGACAAGAGGACCTTCTCCATACTTAAGGAACTAAAATGTTTTATTAAAATACTCATATTTTAATAAAATCAACATAATACTGGATAACATAACTTTATTACTGGCAGTTGTACTCCTGCATGAAAACACTGGGTTAACTTATATGCTTGGATTGGAAATTTAGTAATTCAAACTTGCCATAAATTCAAAATGACCCTTCCTGGGCAATAAGAGTACGCATCTGTCCAGAGTGGAACTGGGTGTTTGGGGGTGAGTCTTAGTGCAGCCAGCTCCTGGATTATAGGTGGGTGGGAGTTAGCTAGAGACCAGCATTCCAATTCTATCTGGGTGAAGATGGTTCTGCCCACACAGCGCCACTTCTCTCACAAATATGTGGACACCATGGTATTTAGGAAACTTTCCCAGATGCCTGGACAGTTTGAGCCCTTCTACTGATGCCCCCATTACACTTCCTTGTGGTCATTCCTCATTACTGTCATTTAACGTTTGCTTTCTTCCACACTTAGCAGGTGAAATTAGCACTCTGAAGGAAAAGCCCTTCATTGTTGATTCATAAACCTCGAGACAGGGCCTGTGCTCAGTGGCACTAGGTATATAAGTATGCATAGGAGTAGAGGGGAATAGGTCTGGAAATTGGGGTCAAACTGCAGAAATGAAAACCTTTGGCTTATGGGCCACAGGGCTAAGAAAGTGTTGAGATGGAAAAGCAAACATAGTTAGGGGGTTTTCCTAGTGGAATTAGTCAAACAGAAGTCAAAACCAGTGAACAGGCTCACTAGGACTCTACTCCTCCAGCAAAGGGGAATGTTTGCTGATTAATGGAGCCTTCTGTCTTCCCTCCTCCACTAAGTTTAGGCCATTTACAAGAAGCCCACCCACAGCTTTTAATGGGGCATTTCCCAAGGTCTCTGCCTTGACCTTATATTTTGCACAGCAAAATGCAGTGAAAACTTTTGCCTAATAAGCTCACCTACAATTCCATGTCTTCACATGACACAGTGGTTGGAAGTCAGTTTCACTGCTATAGGCCGAGCAGCCAGGCAGCTAGACCCTTCCAGATGAAATATGATTCCATATTCCATGTTGCCCTTTGGGCTTCTAGATCTGGATGCCACTCACAAAGAACCTTTGTATGACTGGATTAAGCTAACAGCATCCTTTATTCCATTTCACTTGATTCACAAATAAGAGTGTAATTCACCCATGGTGTGTTTTCATTTCCTCATAATCTGTTCTGAAAGTACTGAGCTTGCTTGCTAGAATATTTAATGGCAATGGATTTTCATATCAATCATATATTACTTAGTAAATTATTTTGATGTAAAATTCCTCTTCCCTAAAAAGAAAATGTTAATCAGTTGTCAGTGTATGGGATCAGATCCACCTATGATAGGGCATTAAACAAAATGGAGAGAGTCCTTACTTTGTTCACATGATGATATGTCAGTAGTTTTCTAGTGGGAATTCTCTCTTCTTTTCCTTGGGAATTTAAAAAAATTGTCAAGGGAAGAACCTATAAGAGGGAACTTTTCTCTACAGGAAGTAGATGTCTGAGATATATGGAAATAAGTTGTTTTGGCAGGGAAATGTGATTTGCCAATAAACCTTATGACTGAAGAGAATTGCAAAGTTTGGTGTTTTAAAAACTGGGAAGGTACACTGACATCCCTAGGTAGCTTCCAAACTTTCCAGGCTATGATGCAACTAAGATCTAATTGGAACATGGTGGGGGGAGGAGTGAAGGAGGGTAAAAAACAAAGGGTCAAATTGCACTGAGTCGCCCTGGTTAGTCATGCCCAAATGTGTCGTTCAGCTTTGCCCTGTCAAATCCCGATAAGCATCTATGGAATTAGAAGAGCAGGTCAAGTTCTCTGCCTGCAAACAAAAGCCTCACCTTTTTGTAAACAGTAAATGATGTATTTGTAAAAGTCAGTCTTTTCCTGAAAGGCAAGTTTTAGTTCAAAAGCAGCCTGTGTGGTTATATTTAAATCCTTGTTAGAACTGGAATAGCTTCTGTCTCCTTACTCATGATGACCCTGGAAAGAAACAAGTCTTGCTAATTTGCTCATCTCATACGTAGTGGTTGGGAGCAGTGCTTCCAGAAGCTTATGGCATGGCAGATACCATGCTGAGATTTTATAACATATAAAGATCACCCTTTTACCCTCAAATCAGACTGTACCATCTTCAAGCTAAAAAAGAGAAAAGAAAACCTTAAATGTATCCATATCAGATATGAAAATGGCTCCTATAGTGACTCCCCTCTGTTACCTCACCTATTTAAGAATTACCTTTTCCTGGCAGAAAACATAAAGCCCTACATCTGTTATGAATTCTACGTGCATGCATTCTCGGGGAACCAGGGAGGATGCAGCTTCTTTAGAGCTGACTCTAAGGACAAAGGTGAGTGTTGGGTTTTCCTGCCAAATTTTGCCTAACTACTGACTTGGATTTGGAAGATGATAAAAGCCTCCTCTATTCCACTTACAGCACCACTGAGTGGCCCCCACATTATCGCCATCACAGTAGAGAAGCGAGGAGTTTTGATTTCATGGAATAGAATTCCTGCTCAGGAGCAAATGGGCTGCATCCTTCATTACAGAATATACTGGAAAGAACAGAACTCTGATTCCCAGCCTCAGCTTTGTGGTATGTGTGAAAAACAAATGCAGTGGAACCTTTTCCACTTAGCTATCAGGCATGTGTGTGCATGCATACATAAACACTAGCACCTGTGACTGGAACTTACTAGGTGTTCGATCAATATTTGTAAAATTAGTTGAAAAATAAAAGACTTCTAAATACACAAACATGCACTAAGTTGTTGAATACATGTTATGTGCCAAACAAAATGAAGAAATGAAGATAATGGGCTAGTCTGTCAAGGAGCTTACTCATATGGAAAGACAGCATTTTCAAAAAGCAAAGCATTTCAACGTTATATAAACCCCAGGGGTTTGCAAGAAATGCATTTAAATCCCCACATCTGCCATATTTTCTCCTTTAATTGAATAAAATTCAGTATCATTTAAGTAATCTCTTATGACCCATAATTATCCTACTATAAAACTAAAGCAATTAAATTCTGACTGGAGCATTATCTAAAATTATTTCATGGATTCTTTATTCATGAAGTAACTCCAGGTCATTTGTCAGCATTGATGTTCTATTTTTTGATTAATTCAGAGTTTTTTGGGTTCCTCTCAGTACCCACCCAGATCATCTTTCTTTCATATGCACCTGGTTTTCTTCAGGAACATTTATTATAAAAAAGCAGTTAGGTGTGAGAATAATGTAACAATGCCTCCCTGTGCTGGGGGTGCTGGGAGAGCTGCCTCCAAGAGTGATGTTTCCCTCTGAACCTTTCAAAGTTGGTCTTCACCTTAGAAGATCTACAGTACTGATTCTCTGAAATTTATGACTTTGAAACCTAGTACATTTCTTATTATATAAATAATAATTACACATAGTAGAATTAGTTCAGGAAGATATAAAATGGAAATTACCCGTTCCTCCATACCGTGGTTGTTAGCAGTTCATGTATTCTTTCAGAAAAAAACCTTTTTCATGTACATATAGCATATATTTGGGTTCTTCTCATATATTTTCATGTATTTCTTAATAATACATGTTGTAAGTATTCATATGAATTTGCTTCATTCTTTAACATTTCTATAATTTTCTCTTACAAAATCTTACAATTATTCACTAACTAATCTACCCCTGGTAAATAGAATGTGTCAGTCAACAGAACTGCTTCTCACTGGCCTGTCAAGGTAAGTCAGTTTGGAAATGTATCCCAAAGGTGGTGAATTATTTGACCTTTCATAGGTCATTTGAAATTTTTTACATATTTGGTACCCCCCCAAAATGTTCTCTTTGGCAAAGTCTAAACCTACATGCTTATGTACAATCAGAAAGCTCAATCTGTTCAGATAGTAGTGCCACTTCAAGCTACTCTTAAAGTTGTTTTTAAAAAGTGCCTACTTTATGAAAAAGGAACTCTCCTGCACTGCTAGTGGGAATGCAAAATAGTGCAACCACTATGGAAAACTGTTTGGAGGTTCCTCAAACTGCTTAACATGGAGCTTCCCTATGACCCAGCAATCCCACTCCTAGGTATCTACCTAAAAGACACAAAAATACTGATTGAACAGGATACCTGCACCCCCATGTTTATTGCTGCTTTATTTACAATTGGAAAAACATGGAAGCAGCCCAAATGCCCAAAAGTAGATGACTAGATTAAAAAGATTGGTACATATATACAATGGAATTTTACTCAGCAACCAAAAAAGAGAAACACATGTCTTTTGCAGCAACTTGGATGGAGCTGGAAAAGATCATGTCTAGTGAGATAAGCCAGAAAGAAAGAAAAAGAAAAATACCGGATGGTTTCGCTCATAGCAGGAGTATAATGGACCAGGCTTTTGTGGGGGTGGAGTGGGGGAGGTTGGAGAAGGAAGTGCACAGGACTATGGTGATGGCACATGGGTGACTTGGTGATGGGAAACCCACAGGGATTACAATTGAGGTGGAAAAAAAAATGTACAAAATGATGTAAAAATTATTATGTTTATTTAAAAAAAAAAAAGAATTCCCTGTAAATTGGTCCTCTACCACTGCAGAGCACAGAAGATGGCTTCACTCTAAAAGGAAAATCCAAGTAGGCAGGCTGCAGAGTAGCTTATATGTGTGGGTATGAGTATAAACACTCGCAAAACTGCAGACCAAGAAAGGCTGGCAAAAAAAAAAAAAAAAGTACCTACTTTATTTTACCACAAATATGGTGAATCTAAAGTCTACAAGGGCATTTTTAAACAAAATAGGAAAACACAGATTTAAATTCCTAATTTGTAGAGTTTATATTGAATTGCCCTTTTTTCAATAAGTTGCTATTGATAAGTGAAACCTGTTCCCTGTCTTCCAAGTTCAGTCTACTGAGAGAGATGAAAAAGAACCCAAAAGTGATGTAACTGCTTTAATCAAGGAGTGACAGGCACCTATTGCATTGGCAACCAGAAATCACTAACAAATTCACAAGAGTAGTTTCTGAAGCAAGGTAGAGAACAGTAGGTTGAGGAGAAGAAAGACATCAGAAGAGAGAAGTAGCAAATGGGGAATGGAGTTCTGAGGTGGGAGTCCCATGATACCTCTTTGAGCACTGTCCGCTGGGTCCATGCAGAGTGCAACAGAAACATAAGGAAGGGCACTGCCAGGACCGGACAGAAGGTGTACAACTGGGATGGGGCCCAGGTATGTGCATTTGAGTAAGTTTGGCAGGTGCTTAATAAAGAAAGGGTTTTTTTTTTAAAGATTTATTTGTGCATACAGAACTGGGGTACAGGCCAGAGGCTCAGGGGCGGCAAGAGGCTTCACCAGAGACAGAGTGGGGAACAGAACAGGCAGATCGACGAAGTACACTGCTGAGGGGAGCAGCGGGCGGGTCAGGAGAGGTCTGCCACGCCATGTGGTCACCTCTGGGGCAGGCAGGGATCGAACTCATGCGGAAGCAGCTTTAGATTCTCACTGCTGTGCTTTAACCCGCTGCGCTACGAGGGAGGGCCGAAAGGTATTTATTGAACAGCACAGGGGTGAATACTGCCCTAAATTTCATTAAACCAATGTAGATTATTAAGTAATACCTAATGTAAAGTAACAATGCAGATATTTTGTCTGGTACCTTTTGACCTTTCCTGCAGCCTCTGCTTTAATTGGCAAGTCTTCCTAAACTAGTACCTTTGTCATTTACCTTGTGTCTGATGTTTCAGATGCCAAGGCTAAATGTCCTCCTTTATCTCTGCTAGAGATCATGGCCCAGACCTTGGCAGCAGAACCAGTATTTCCTGCATGACTTCTTGATGTCTTGTTCCCATTACTCAATGTGTTCTGTCAAAACTGCTGACACTGGCACCCTCTTTACTGCTCCTACTCCCCCATAGTTTTTATTTTTATCCATCAAATATACACGTGTGGCCCTCCCTGGTGGCGCAGCGGGTTAAAGCACTGCACTGAGAAACTAAGGCCACCTCCGCATGAGTTCAATTCCCGCCTGCCCCGGAGGCGACCACATGGCGAGGCAGACCTCTCCTGACCCGCCCGCTGCTCCCCTCAGCAGTGTACTTCTTCGATCTGCCTGTTCTGCTCCCCACTCTGTCTCTGGTGAATCCTCTCACCCTCCGCATCTCTGGCCTGTACCCCAGTTCTGTACGAATGGATAAATAAATCTTTAAAAAATATATATATACACGTGTGTATATGTAAACTTGTTCAGCCCAGCACACTATTAAAGTCCTTACTTTTAATTCCAACATCCCATTTCACTCCCAGAGCCAAGGATGCCCTTGCAAGTTGGACATTTGACTCCAATGAGTCTAGTTGGTGTTTTTCTGCAGCAAGATGAACACAAGTTCTCTCCAAAATGAACATTTGTAATCCTCTGCCTTAAGAAGAAGGCAAAGGTACTTTTGAGTTTAATTATATAGCCTAAGCCTATACAAGCAAACAATTTCATCAGGTTAGAGTAGGCTTAAAATTTTCCACATTTGGGCCCTCCCTGGTGGCGCAATGGGTTAAAGCACAGCACTGAGAAGATAAGGACACTTCCACAGAAGTTCAATTCCCGCCTGCCCCAGAGGAGATCCACATGGCTTGGCAGACCTCTCCTGACCCACCCGCTGCTCCCCTCAACAGTGTACTTTGTCGATCTGCCTGTTCTGCTCCCCACTATCTCCTGTGAAGCCTCTCGCCACCCCTCAGCCTCTGGCCTGTACCCCAGTTCTGTATGTACAAATAAATAAATCTTAAAAAAAAATAAAATAAAAAATTTTCCACATTTTCTTCTCAATAGGATATAAAATATAGAAATTGCTATGATAGTTGCAGCTGCTAAATTATGTGCCCAGGCTTCAGTGCCTTTGGGTAGAGAAGATTTAGTTATATGTGTTATTACTACAAGTCTCTTTCTTGTTGATCACCCAGAGTAGGGAGGGTGGAAGTGTGTAAGGAGTCTGTTTTTCCCCACTAGATGGTGAACACTTTGAGGCAGATCCTATGCCTTTGTATATACTCTGTGTCTTACCTAGAGCAGATGCTCAATAAATATCTGTGACTGTCTAAATAAGTTCAGCAAACGGTTATCATCTGAGTTTTATCATCTGACTTGCCTTGGGTTTCTGAGTCAGTAAATGGTGTTAAGGCACAAAGCTAAGTTTCTAGTTCTGTACAGATCACCAGCATGGGTGCAGATCTGACAAGTGTGCCAACAGGCCATCTCTGCTGGAATTCTAGCTTTGACTTTACAGTCCTGCCCTTCTTTTGGGGGTCACTTCAAAACATACCCAGCAGATCACTGCAGAAGAAGATCGTTTATTTACTGGCTACCGACACTCCTCCTTCTCAGAGGAGAAAAACAGCATCAGCACATGACTCAACAGGCAGAATCTTCTTTCTAAGGACCTGCACGGGGTGTTGAAAGCATCCAGCATTGAAATATCAGACTTTGGCTGCCAAAATTAAGGACCATTGCTGCTCTGATTTTTAGATTTTATGTCAAATTGAAACAGATATATATTAAACCCAGTATACAGGGCCAACAAAAAAGTAGAAAATCAAAATTAATACATGTTACTTAAATGTCTACTTTATTAACACCTAAATTCAGCTTTCTTAAAAATTCCATTGAAAGGCCCTCCCTGGTGGCGCAGCAGGTTAAAGCACAGCACAAAGAAGCTAAAGCCACTTCCGCATGAGTTCGATCCCCGCCTGCCCCGGAGGTGACCCACATGGCGTGGCAGATCACTCCTGACCCGCCCGCTGCTCCC